TCATTTAAAGGTCCCCATGCTCAGGTCAGAACAGTCTGAAGATCTGTCTCAAATGTGGTGGATGCAGCTTGAAAGCTCTTTACTCAAATAGTTAAAATAGAACATCAGTGAGTGAACAGGTCAACATAAATAAATTGAGTTATATAATAAAATCACTATGAGAAGTGTAGACCTTTCTGGCATGAGAGCAGGCGTGACGCAGGCAGCCAGCAGAATGTCAGTGAGTGTATCGTTCATGTCCTTCCTGCTGGTGTTCATGTACAGCTCTTCCAACTGACTGCTGATGGACGCCATGTTGGGCTGACTCAACCTGCCAAGCAGAGGGCAGAGCCATCAAATAACAACAAACTGGTGAAGTCAACGACACTAAATGCTTTTAAAAACAAAGCCTCTTTAAAATGCATTAATCAAGTTAATCTCTGTGACACCTTACCTGTTAATCAGACCTTTCACACTGCGCTTCAGCTTCTCCAGCTCAGCTTTGCGTTTGCTGTCTGCAGCCTCTCGCAGGTGAGGTGGAACATACTTGCCAGTTGTGGCAGGATTCTACAGCAAATAGAAGACCAAATAACTGATATTAGCTTCAAAGTATAAGGTGTATCCTGGTTTGTGTCCTTATGCACCATTATGAGCAGATAATGCACTTATAGACCCTTTTCAGTATTCAGTTTTCTCAGTAGCGGAAAGCGTCATAGTTGGGTGAACTGAAAAGTGCAGCGAATGGGAGAGTACAACTAATAATTTTTTACAAGCCTATTTGCTAAAAAAAGAAAAACTCCACGATGGTGTAATCAAGACCTTTAGAAAAAGTAAAAAAATAGTGTGAGACTGATGACGGCCAGAGGAGAGAATAAGGTCAAATTTACTCTCAGCCCAACAGACGCCGCATTAAAAACGCCTCGCACGAGCAGTAATTCATTTTTTGTAATTTGATGCAAAGATGATATAATACATACATAAACACATATAAATGTTTTTATGTTTAAAAAATCTAAATATTAAAAACTTTCAAGGATTTAAGATTATGATGACCGTTAAGCATGTCATGTTGAAAAGAGGCCATTATAAAAGGCCACTTTATAAAGTCTTTCAAACTCTGATGACTTTATAAAGTTGATAAATTAGATCAGGGGTGTCAAACTCAATTCCTGGAGGGCCGACGCCCTGCACAGTTTAGTTCCAACCCTGCTCCAACACACTTACCTGTAGGTTTCAAACAAGCCTGAAGGACTCAATTAATCAGAATTAATTAATTCGGTCCTGGAGAGCTGGTGTCCTGCAAAGTTTAGTTCTAACCCCAATCAGACACAGCTGGCCTAGCTAATCAAGCTCTTACTAGGCAGTCTAGAAACGTCCTGGCAGGTGTGTTGAGGCAAGTTGGAGCTAAAATCTGCAAGACACCCCTGGCATAAACAATAAGTGCATGGTGTGTAGTATGTCTTTTGGGACAAAGCATTACACCTGATGAGCATGCGATAGTAAAAAATAGTGCTGAATAAGGACACTCTGGTCTTCTGTAGAAATGCTTTACGGTTGAATTAAGGTTATATCATCACAACTTTGAAATTCATCAATCATTTATTTTCTGCCAATTTTCCGGGGCCGGGTCGCGGTGGCAGCAGTCTTAGGAGAGAACCCCAGACTTCACTCTGCCCAAACACTTCCTCCAGCTCCTCCGGGGGGATCCAGAGGCATTCCCAGGTCAGCCGAGAGATATAGTCCCTCCAGCGTGTGGGACATGCCTGGAACACCTCCATACGTAGGCGTCCAGGAGGCATCCGAAAAAGATGCCCAAGCCACCTCAGCTGACTTCCCTCAATGTGGAGGTGCAGTGGCTCTACTCCGAGCTCCTCCCGGGTGTCAGACTTTGAAATTCTGATACCACATCTGAAGTTAACGGAGCAGAAAAATGACACTCTAGAGCTCCTTTAAAACTGGAATTAATTTTTGAACATAATTTTTCTGTTATTACTGTGACATAACTATTGCATAAACCTTTATATAACCAATCAACTGATTTTAGACTACTTCTTATAATACTATTTCTCTTTACATTTAAACAAACATCTGACCAAAAAAACTCTAAAACTCTTTATTCTGTCTTTTTTTATCACTGTAACCCCACTGTGACCAGTTGTTTATCAAAGTATTTACTTATTGCTGTTTTTTCATTGTTTTGATTACTGAAATAAATGATAGAAAATAATAAGTAGATGTACAATGACATACTAGTTCCTGGCTTTCAGGATTTTTTTGTTCAGATTCAGCTTCCTCCACTTCTTCATTTTCCTCTGATGCATCCGTGTCATCCTCTTCATCTCCTTCTACCTCCTCATCATCTATTTGTGTGTCTTCCTCCTCCACGTCCTCCTCTTCCTCCATCTGCGCTTCATCCTCTTCCTCACCATCACCTGTGTCTTCATCGTCTGTCATTTGCTCCTCGCTGTCTTCTTCCAGCTCATCAAAGTTCTCCTTGGCTTTGTCAATGTCCATTTCTTCATCGCTCTCATACAGTCCCGTAGCAGACGCTCCAGGCTCAAGAATTCCTAAAATATAATCTAACCCATCATTGGTGAAAGACTGAGGCAGACTCTTCTTGTTCTTTCTTTTATTCAGTCCAAGGCGTTTCTCTAGCTTCTTTATTTCTCTGTCCTCTTCGACATTCGCCTCTAACAGAGCCAGCTTTCTGCTCTCGTTCAGGCCAGATTTCTTTTTCTGCTTTGGCAGATCTTCTGAGAAGTGGACTTTCTTACTTTTCGTCTCATCTTTAGCGTCTTTAGTCTTAGCATCGCCTTTTTTAGTCTTCTGCTGTCTCTGAGGAGCATCTGTAGTCTTCTTCAGGACTGGTTTGTGTGTGTTTTCCTCCTTCACAGCAGGAGTGTTTGGATTAAGCTCCTCGCTGGATTTTGCCATTGCCTGACCCATGTAGTGGCTCTTCATCTTGGCTTTCTTCATCTTACGTTTCTCCTTGCGCAGGTCTTTTCTGCTTTTCCGCTTTACGAAATTTACTCTTTGGTCGTTTTCATTTTTATCGAAGCCTCCTTTACTCTTCACAAAGTCGCTGACTGAATCCTTGAGTTTCTTAAATTTGTCATTGTTTGCTTGCTTTCCACCTTTACCTTTGCGCTGCCGCTTTGCCTTCATTTTCTAAGTGGATTATAAAGGAACGCGCATACAATCTTCTTCTTATTTTTTTATTTTAATAGGTACGTGTCACAGACTAAACAGAGTTATCGAAAGTTTACACATGCAGAAGCTGGAGGCAGCCATTGGCGTTTTCTTCGTTAGACATTTCGAAAGTGAAGAAAACAAAATTGAGTTTATCGCCATCTGCTGAGTCGGAGAGTAAGTTCTGTCATCATTTACTCAAACTTCACTTGACGCAAACCAGTTTGAGGTTTTCATTTAATTTTTCAAAAATTAAAACATTTAACCATTGACTTCAATAGTATTAGTCTTTCTTACTATGGAGGTCAATTTTCAGGTTTCTATAACACTTTTCTAAATAGCTTCTTTTGTGTTTAGCAAAAAAGTAAACTCATAAGGATTTGGAACCACTCGATCATTTTTGGGTGAACTGTCTCTATAATAATGTGTATAGATTTATTAGCAGTATGTACTGTATAAATATATACCAGAAGATATATGTATAACTTCTTGTATACTTGCATATGAACAGGACATATTCACATACAGACATTTTAGCTTACCCAATTCAACTATAGTGCATGTCTTTAGACTGGGGAAAACAGGAGTACCCGGAGGGAACTCGTGCAAACATGGAGAGAACATGCAAACTCCACACAGAAAACTGACCCAGAAAGACTCGAACCAGCAACCTTCTTGCTGTGAGGTGACATCGTTACCCATTGCACCACCGTACCGCCCCATAATTTCTTATAATTTCTCTAATATGCAAGTAGTGTCTAGAAATAATAATTAAGTAGGCATGACACTATTTTTTGGTACACAAGATGCTCTGTTGTTCTGTTCCGCTATTAATATGCTAACATATAAAAATTAGTATTTTAAAATGCAATATTTAATGTGTCGGACACAAAATAGACACGTCAATTTGTTTAATATAAAATTAATAGTAATCTGACCAGTTAACCGTTAATAACCGATTAATGAGCAGCGTTTGTCGGTTAGCAAAATTAACGAAATGAACATTCCTAGTAGCTATTTAATTTACTTTTTCTATGTAAGAGAACTTGATTGAAAAATAATTTTCAACATGCTTGAACCATCTACACAATGGAGTTTAGTTACATGTATTTGTATTTTGTTACAAAGAAAACAGAAGTGATATAGCTTTGGCTATTTATTTTTTTTATATATGGCTATTTATATTGTTAATAATTTGCATAGTTAATATTGTTCTTTGATGTTTAGTTTATAAAGATTTTTCAAATGTTATTTAATAAAAAATAGTTTTAAAAATCTTTTTTTTCCCACCCCACAAAAAAAAAAAAAAAAAAAAAAAAAATCGTGATACGAACCGAATCGTGGGTCAAAAATCGTGATACGAACCGAGTCGTGGGTTTGGTGTATCGTTACAGCCCTACAAGTTACATAGAATTACATATTAGTGTGTATCTTCTGTAAATCATGGTAAAATGTGATACCCACTGTTTTTGATTATAAAACATTTTAAGCTGCATTTTTCTTTTATTGATTTATTTTATATTACTCAATGCCTGCTAACTAAACATCTGTTGCCAACAGTAACATATTTAGCTAAGTTAAATTCACTCATACTCCTGATTCATTTTTCACAAATAAACTCGACACTCCTGTGACCATACATAAGACAAGTTGTTTTATGGAAATATTGATGGATGAATGGGTGTATTACCTAAATGTAGCACAGGAGAAAGTCCTCTATTTCCAGAAGGATTTTACTGTATTCTTCTTGACAGGCCATCTGTGTACATCCATCCTCCTGCCTGTCGTAAGTCGCCGAATGATGACGCGATATATTTTGACTGTGTTGTGATCGTTTATTTGGCGCTGAGCGCAACCGCTGTCAGTCAGTCGAGCTCTTCCAAAGGGCGGTTTATTTATCTGATAAAGTCGCTTTCTCTCGCAGTGAATGGACTGGCCACCAAAATGCGTTGCTAATGAATGTGTTTCTGCAATATGAAGAATGGAAGACGATGTGACGATCAGAGAGCAGAATTTCCACAGCCAAGTGCGCGAGTACATCGTGAGTACAGAGAGACCCATTAAAGCACAGCACACTGACCCGTTATGCTCCGTGTTCATTATCCAGCTTGCATTTAGACTTCATTACGCATATTCCGTATAATGAAATCATGAATGGGTTTAACTGTGGTTAAGACTTTTGATAAATATCTCTAGAAACAGAACTGAGTTTAAATGAGGTCCATTAGGCTAGTTGGTTAGCCTCTTAGCTTGTCGTTAGCTACAATATTGAGCTCTTTAATCCCTTTCTGTGACTGAGCTCGCAATTCATTTGACTTCTAACCCAAAATTAAACGCGTTTTGTAAATAATTGTTAGCTGTCTGTAATTGTATGCATGAAGCCGAGTAACCTTTGTGTCATATTTCTAAAACTAGTAGAATTAGGACAGACTGAACTATCGTCAACTGACATTTGAGTAATCCTAACGGTTCTTCACTGACAGCTTGTTTACAGTTGTTGGTGTACACATGAGCATTGCAGGTTTGCAGTGTTTATTTTGGGTGTTAGGATATAATGTGCCTCTCCTTTCTGACTTGGCAAACTTGGGGCCAGTTGCATAAACTCTTACCAACTAATTTGACTGACTGATGTGTTTTATTTAACAGGTTCACGTTAGACCAGCCTATGTTGTTTTTGAGGTTAAGTTGTCCCTATATTGTTTATAATGGTACATTGAATATTCGGTCTGAAATCACATTTATGTATAACTTCAAAACAACACATGCACTATTTAATTGACTGAACAATGTTGTACTTTGATTGTTGTTGGTTGCTTAGAATTTTCTTTTATTATTATTATTATTATTATTATTATTATTATTATTATTATTATTATAACAAAGCACACAGGCTGAAAAAAAAAAGGCGAGGGCAAGTGGCGCAGTAGGTAGTGCTGTCGCCTCACAGCAAGAAGGTCGCTGGGTCGCTGGTTCGAACCTCGGCTTAGTTGGCGTTTCTGTGTGGAGTTTGCATGTTCTCCCTGCCTTTGTGTGGGTTTCCTCAGGGTGCTCCGGTTTCCCCCACAGTCCAAAGACATGCAGTACAGGTAAATTAGGTAGGCTAAATTGTCCGTAGTGTATAAGTGTGTTTGAATGTGTGTGTGGATGTTTCCCAGAGATGGGTTGTGGCTGGAAGGGCATCCACTGCGTAAAAACTTGCTGGATAAGTTGGCGGTTCATTCTGCTGTAGCAAACCCCGGATTAATAAAGAGACTAAGCCGACAAGAAAATGAATGAATGACACAGGCTGAAAAAAACAATATAATGAAATATATTATTCATACTACACCCCCCCCCCCCCCCCCCCCCCCTGTGGTTTCTTTAAACTGGGGTATCCAATTAATAGAAGTTAACAGAAAAACAAAAGCAAAGTACAGTATCAAGTATCAATTATACAAAGTAAGGCAATCATCCTGATTCCTGATCATTGTTTTGTGCAGTAAACGTGGAGATTTTGTCCAGATCTTTAATGCACACATTTGTAGCAAGTTCACTCGAGCTGTGGATAATTATAATGTCGTACAGTTGTACCAGCCACTTGTATGTGTCCAAATTATGTGATGAGTTTCTCAGTAGCAGAAGTCATCATAGTTGGGGAAAGTGCAGTTGGGGAGTGCAGTGAATGGGAGAATACAACAAACATTTTTTTTGATCTTATTTGCTCAAATATTTAAGAAAAACTCCATGATGATTTTATAAACACTTTTAGAAAAAGGAAAAAAAGTGTGGCGCTGAAGACGGCAGCCAGAGAAGAGAATAAGTCAAATTTACTGTCCAGTCACATAGACGCGGCATTATAAACGCCTTGCACAAGCAGTAATAGATTTTTTGTAATTTGATTCAAAGATGATATAATACATTCATAAATACATAGAAATGTTCATGAGTTTTTTTTTTTTTTGAAAATCAAAACTTTTAAGGATTTAAGATGCTGATGACTGTTAAACGCGTTATAACAGGCTTGTGAAAAGGGTCCATTCCCACATCAGATGAAAAAAGATCCAAGTTCCTGGTCAGGACATTTATAACAGAGAGGACTAAGGAGGCGTTGATACGATGTCTTTTGAGTGGGGTTCAGTAGGTTCTATGACAAAAGTTATTGTAAATGAGTTGGTGATTGAGATTTTTAGATGAAGTAAAAATGTTCTGCCATACTCTTTCCCAGTCTGTGACACCCTCTAATAGTTAACAGTCAGTTGCCCAACTGCGCTGTATAACAAAATGCTTTCAATTGAGAATTTCCAAAGAAAAGTTTTCTGAAATTGTATTAAGGAGAAATTTTGAATGTCTGAAAAAAAAAACAATTTTACCTCAATTATGCTTTTATGAAACCCGCTTAAAACCTTTGACCAGTTTTCTTAACAAATAAATGACTAACTTGTTGGCATTTTATGCAATTGGTCACTCATGTGATTAATGAATGGATTGCATGATTTTGCAAATGAATACATTTCTCAGTACTCTGTGTGTGTTGCCAGTTATGTCTGACCAATCTGATTTTGCCAACTTTTTGCTAGAAGGGTAGCCAAGAAATATTTAATGTTGGTAACAGTTATCCCAGCTTAATCTTAAATACAAAGCTATGTTAAATCGATTGATTCAGATGTAGATGCAGACATTGTTTTTGATTCACACAATAAAACAGGATTTTATATGCATTGAAAGCATATTTAATGCAGGCAATTTGTATAATAAAATTTAAAAAACATGTTTTACTCTATGACGTAAAGCAATTAAACGTGTTAGTATAGGAAATTCCGTTTTTTTTATGTTGTTGTTTTAGCGAAGTCTTTTGTTTTTTACAGTTACACCAGACCTTACAGTTGAAATTTTGAAACTTATAGTAAAAAAAAAAGAAAATATAGAAACACACACACACACACACACACACACACACACACACACACACACACACACACACACACACACACACACACACACACACATACACAGTCTGTGCATTCGAAAGAGTGTCATATGTGTGTGTAGAGTGTGTATGAGATAGCTGTTATCAGGCACACATACAGTTCGAGTTATTCTAACTAAAGTCTGTGCTGTGCAGATAGATCAACTTTTCTGGCTCTTTATTGTTGCTGTGCTGATAATGTGCAAACAGTTTTTCAGCTTCCCTTTTTAAAAACGAAGTGATTAGATATTACTTATACAATAATATTGATTATATTTGGCTCTTACTGAACAGAATCGTTAATTTCGGAAGATGATCTTGATTAAGACAAATCAGGAATTCTTGTGTGCTAGTAGGACTGAACAGTATATCATTTGAGCATCGATATCACAATGTGTAAATCTGCAATAGTCACATCGCAGGATTAAATTATTTATTGAAAAATAAAAGATAAAGATATTATTATATATATGTATATATATATATATATATATATATATATATATATATATATATATATATATATATATATATATATATATATATAAATAATTATTTTTACAATAATGACCATTATATTTTACATTTGATTGTTCAATTTCTTTACATGAGTACTTGTAAACTCCACAGAAAACTCTAAAAAGCTCTGTTTATTTGTTTGTTTTTGCTTGTAATTTATTATAATTCAGATCCCACTAGCTGGCAAATTTTTCACCTATTTTGGGTTTTAGGTACGATGAAGATTGCTCAGCTCAGCTGGCTCATAATACCTTTGCTTGAAAACAAAAAGAGATTAAAGTCAAGCTGAAATTTAAGTGACTAGCCAGCTAATCCTGCTTCATGATACAGGCCCCAGTTCTCTTGGTTTTTATTTTGTCTAGACCAAAACATTAAACACAAAACATTTTGAAATGACACATTTTCTAATTCACTGAGCTTTCACACCTTAATTTTTAAATCAAAACCTAAATATACAGTGAAAAGAAGTTATTTGTTATTCCGATGCAATGTAAAGAGGTTAACTGGAACTTAATCTGAATCTGATTTCCATTCAAAGCTCCAGTTAGGTTTATTTTTATGGTGGAGTAAAGTTGCATATATATGTAATGGAGAACTGTGTTAATGCTCTGTAGTTTTGTAAGGCTACAAGCAAGGTGTAATATGAGTGAAAGTTCAGGCATGACTGGCATGTTTACATATCCATCAGTCTGTCCTCTTAAAATACTCCTCAGTGTCATGGAGACTGGCTGCTGATTCATGCATATAAAGCTGAATTCACACTGCACAGACAGATGCTGGCAAAAGTGGACAATCACAAGTCCAGTATGTTCAGTCATTAAAAAACATCACTGCTTCACAGACAGGGCTAACAAAACCAAATGAAATGTGGTTTACGTTGGTTATTGATGTAGAGTGAATTGGCCATAAGGCTTTGTCTCTGTGACAGATATTACATATAATTTTATTTAACCATGCTTTAACACTGTTGGGCTATTAGTATGTATACTATATACATTTTTTTTTAAATATAGACTAGATTTATACTTATAGTATTTGTATTGAAAATCAAATCAATAGATATTTGGGGGTACATAGCAGGCACATAATTTTTTTCTTCACTTTTTTTACATTAATATTTCTAACCTGATTTTTAGTTTATGTTCTTTTTAATTAAATGTCTATGAGGGTCTAAGATGAACGGGGCTTTTCAAAGATTCCTGATCAAATGTATTAGATCCAGCCCCTGATTCTGTCAGAAGATATCACTTTCTCAGATATCAATTACAACAGTTTTCAAATGCCCAAACCTGGTTATATCGGCTGAAGCTTATAATTGAATTATTTGATGTAATAACAAATACTTTATTTAATAACAAAACAAATCTTCAGAGTAAGTTGAAAAAGCTTATCCGATTAATCGACCGACTACAGTGGTAGATTAATCATTTATTAAAATAATCTATAGCTGCAGGTCTAATATCACCTTTGGTTTGTTACTTGTTTGGTTCCCAAAACTGTTGCCATTTTCTACCAGCAAAGACATCCATCTTCTGATTGATCAGAAACATTCTCTTACTAGAGATAATCAATTTATTTCAAAACAACACTTTGATTAAAAAAGCAACAATGCAAAAATAGTAAATAAAATATAATAATAATGTATAAAATGAATATAAAAAGTAGTAAATAAATGATTTACATTTTGTTGTAAATTACATAATTAACTAGAATAAAATGATTGTACATAACAGATCATTCTGATTTTGATATTGGCTACCATACAAACATTTTTAGAAAACGTTCACAAAAAAACAATGTGTAACTGTTGTGTATATGCATGTATGTCTTCATAAAAGCAGGCAGGCAAACATTTGAGAAGAGGAACAACAATATATTACAGTTGTTTAAACCAATAAATGCTGTTATCAGTCAATTGTTTCCCATCATGCCTTTACTATCATACTCTGTGAACAGCTGTGACAAGAATTATTTGACCTGCAATTGGATGATACAGATTTCTAACCAACATGTCTCACAGTGATCAGCAGACGGGTATTTTGTGCAGATTTGTTCATCTCATATAAACCTGATGAATTCTTGATTCTGTTACTCTGAATGAGCTCTAATAAACTGCCGGTTCAGTCAGCCAACGGTTGGCTGGTTATGTCAATAGTAAGAAAAAAAAAAAACTTTTACACAGCCAGCACTTATTTGAGCATGCCAGAAAAGCAAATATCTATTTTTTTTTAAACTTGGTATTTTAGGTTTCATTAAAGATCTAACAATAAGTCAGTTGCAAAACATGACATTTTGGGCATTTTTTACAGACAGTTTGATGTTTTATTTTTTTAAACACTACTTAAAATAATAAAGTTGACACTGCCGCCTAATATGTTCTCTCTATATTTATAAAATACTTTAAGTTGAATTTTATGCAGACAGGATGTTTTGTGAATGCAATATTTTCATGCACTGCTGTGTATTGCGATATATGCAATTTCACCAGATGACTAGAATAGCTTGTAAAGAGTTCATAATTTTAAATCGATTGGGATGACTAAGTAGGGGAGTGTATCTACATAAAATATAATTAAAGAAATGAAAAGCATAGTTAAATACAACAGACAAAAGATGCAAATAAACGGTCATTTATGTATTTACAATAAATACTGTAAATCATGTATTTAATTTATTTTCTGGGGAGTCAGATAGAAAATTCTGCAGCAGAAATTAAATAATCACTATAGAAAATTCTGCAGCAGAACTTAAACAAGCACTATAGAAAAGTCAGCAGCAGAAAATAAATAATCACTTGAAAATTCGGCAGCAGAAATTAAATAAGCACTATAGAAAATTCTGCAGCAGAAATTAAATAAGCACTATAGAAAATTCTGCAGCAGAAATTAAATAAGCACTATAGAAAATTCAGCAGCAGAAATGAAATAATCACTAGAAAATTCTGCAGCAGAAATTAAATAATAACTGTAGAAAATTCAGCAGCAGAAATTAAACAATCACTAGAAAATTCAGCAGCAGAAATTAAATAATAATAACAACACTGTATTGTTTTATTTGAGTACAAAGGTACAAATAAACTTTAAGCTTGAAATGTTTAATTTATTGTGCCCAAATGTATAAGTTTGCTCAAAATTGTTACAGTCAGACCTTAAAAACACCTCAAAATAAAAAACTTTAACTCAAAGATTGAAATTCACTTGAAATTACTTCACTACAGTTAACTGTAACATCTGGTCAACTATAATCCCAACTACATCGCAGATCTCTGTACTGTGACTATTGCGGACGCACACATTACGATATCGATCCTGGGACTGAGACGATATATTGTGCAGCCCTAGTTTAAAATCAATGTTTGGAAACTCAATCTCCTTCTCTCTGTTTTTTAGGTCTGCTTCCTCTTGTTTGCAGTACTGTACATTGTGTCGTACTGCATCATCTCACAGTACAAGAGGAAAAGTGGTGAGTAAGACTAATCTGTTTAGTTTCTGATCAAACCATACAATACCATTAAAAATAATTACCATTTAAAATGTTCTTCATGACCTGCAAGGTTTTCATATAAGGTGATACTAAATTTTTTGTGACAATTGAACTATTTTATTGGTTGTAAAATCTTTTGAAGACTACAAATCTCAATTCGGGTATCATCCAGCTCCGTAAAACAAGGTGCTTCTGCTATCAGACTCCCTGATACAAACAATCGTAAGGACAGTTATTCCTTACTTATTCTCGAGGAGGTCTCATAACTAATGTCAGCTAAATCCTTATAAGCAGTTTATTGTAGGAGAAACTTGTTTTAAATAAAAAAAATGTAATAAAATATATTAACTGCTGTTTACTGTTAAGCTGTTAGACTACCAGCCCTATATGGATTTTCTGTGGTCCGAATCTTCATTTACTTTAGAGTGATTGAGTTTTGTGCTGGGTTCTTTCTTTCTTTCTTTCTTTCTTTCTTTCTTTCTTTCTTTCTTTCTTTTTTTTTATCCCATTTGGCAATCGATTCATCTCCCCCCGCTCCTCCATCCACTCTTTAACCCTTTTTGATTCTGGACAGCCTCCATCTGGCCAATTCATTCAGAAGGTTTATTCAAATGTTTGTGATTTATGATAAGCCAGTATTGTTTTCATGTTGCTTTCAGTTAAATGAAGAGAAATTGTGCTTTAGTCTTATTAAACCATCTGTCGTGTCCCTGTGTCCTCTGTTGTGTCGCAAGTTCACAGCAAAGAACTTTACACTGGATGAAAAGAAAAACAAACTTACATTTAAGATAGCCGGCACATCAGAAGCAACAGTAGTAGGTTTACCAAAAATATAAATGGCAAATCTAATGCCATTGATCTGTGTTTTCCTATGCCAACAGATGACCAGGAAGATGAGGATGCCATTGTCAACAGAATATCGTGAGTTCTTTGATACTAACATATGGGACATAAAAAGTGTTTTTATGGTACACTGAAATAATTCGTTTATAAGAGGTGATATCAATAAAACTGATGTTTTTCCCCCCCAGATTTTTCACTGTACTTTCTGTTCTAGACTATTTTTTTCTTCATATGATACAGCAATAATATATCAGGACATAAAAAGTAAAACAGAAGCAAGTTGACGATTTAATAAAATCTTTAACATAATAACATTTTAAAATAATGATTGTTTAATTTGATCTTTCTTTCAGTATGTACCTGTGTACATTTACACTGGCGGTGTCTGGAGGTGCTGTCCTCCTTTTACCATTCTCTATAATCAGCAATGAGATCCTGCTTTCTCTTCCAAAAAACTACTATATACAATGGCTCAACGGATCTCTCATACATGGTCAGTGTCATGACTTTTTATACAGTATGTTTTAACAACTTTACATATAGGCATACATAAAGTTATATATTGTGTCATTTAAAAAAAATAACTGTGGTATGTATGCTACTGCTTTGTTCTCCTGAAAGCACAGCAAAACTAGTTTTCTTTTTTGGATGCTTTTATTTTAAAATGGTGTTTAAATCTGTTCTTTTTTTTAATTAAAAGGTTTATTAATTAGCAAGCCGCCTAAATTTATTTATAAGTCCGTACTCTTCTAGAGTTATTTTTTTCCACGTTTCAGCCATGGCCACAAGGTGGTGTTGTGTGTCTATTTTTTTGTATTTATGTTAACCTGAGAGCAGTTGTTTGACATTAAATCGTTGAGGTTTTTCACTGTGACAAGGCAAGGTTCATTTTTATTTTGTTTGTTTGATTTTGGAGGAAAATTTAAAAAATAAATATAAACATGGTGTTAAATTGCTCACACTAAAAGAATTAGATTAGACAAGTTATTTACTGAAGCAGGGGTGGAGTGGGAATGATTTCTTATCATATAAAATGATATCTATCATGTTAGTTAGCTGAACTTTCATGCTTTATGATCTGATGTGTTTTTCTTCAGGCCTGTGGAACCTGGTCTCCCTCTTCTCAAATCTCAGTCTTTTTGTGCTGATGCCTTTTGCCTACTTCTTCCTGGAGTCCGAAGGCTTTGCTGGTTCCAAAAAGGTACGTGCTTGTTTTTGAGTTTAATAGGTATGTTCAATGGGCTGGTATAAGTTTCTGACATTATGATAAACTTGGATAAAAATATTTAACAGTTTTGTAATTACTGCTCTATTATAGATTCTTATTAAATGGCTGGGTAAAAACCAAAAACTTTTCCCCCTTTGAACACAATACATTTTATTTTGAGAAACTTAAAATATTTTGTAACACTAAACATTCATTCATTCATTCATTTTTTTTTTGGCTTTATTAATCTGGGGTCGCCACAGCTTAATGAACCGCCCACTTATCCAGCACATGTTTAACGCAGCGGATGCCCTTCCAGCCACAACCCAAACACCCATACATTCTTGCACACACAATCATACACTCCATACACATTTAGCTTATTTAATTCACTTATAGCACATGTCTTTAGACTGTGGGGTAAACTGGAGCAACCGGAGGAAACCCACGCGAACACAGGGAGAAAAACTCTACACAGAAATACCAACTGACCCAGCTGGGGCTCAAACCAGCGACCCTCATGCTGTAAGGTGATTGTGCTACCCACTGCGCCACTTTGCTGCCCTAACAGTAAACATGTCAGGCTAAATAATTCAAATGAATCATTGACTTCTGCTGTCTTTATTAGTCATTGGGTATCTTTTCTGCTGGAGATACTGCTGTCCTAAAAAAATAAAATAAACGTTAAAAAAAAACAATCTTACATATACTGTGGGATAGGGCTGTGTTTTAATATGGGCAAAAGAAACTCATCAAAATTTTCTTAAACAATAATGCAATTTCAATTTTAATCCCAATTATGACACACACAAATGGTTTACAGTGTGAATCTGAAAAAATATTTCCAAAGGAAAACAATTAGCTCTTTATCAAACACCTGTAATATGTCTTTGAAACAGACATAAGCCAAAAAAATAAAAATCACCTTGTAAGGGTGTAATAAATTGTCTCTAGAACAGACCTATGGGAAAACAAATAAACAGACCACTGTGTGTGTGTGTGTGCGTGCGTGCGTTTGTTTATGCGCCCGCGCGCGCTCGTTCTGTTTAACCATGTCAGAAGTAGTTGCATGTCCTTCCATATGTGTCCAGATTTTTTTTTTTGACATGCATAGATCATAGACCTCTTTGTGACGCTGCCGGGAAATAGTCTGTTTACAAATCGTGTCTTTTGCATGCACAAGTTCGTTATCTCCAATGAAAGCGCGCATATTGGAAGTGATGCACACGTATTCCATGCGCACCCAGTTGAAAACATCTCTACTTTCAGAATGCTACAAGAGAGTCACATAACAAGAAATGAGCAATCAGCTTTAAACTTTGGAATGTACACATTTCGGTAGACTGATTAACTCAGAAGACCCAAACACCCAGTGCGTTTTCATTTTCTCTTTAAAGGTTCAAGAATCCCTTGAGTACTTTTTTAAAGATTTTAACAGATGTGTGTGTTGAGCTTCAATTAAGTGAATGTTAGCACCTGTTAGCTTTAATTGTGGGGAAAATGGGACAATTTTGAGCTTTTGTCAGCTAATTTCATCTTCCGGGTTTAAAATTATTTTTACAATTTACAAATGGCCTGATTCTGTGATACATCAGCCTTCCTCTATCCAAAGTAATCGCACACCACAGATGTTGACCTTTCTTGGCACCAAGTCCTTCTCTGCTGAACTTGTCATCCCTGTTTATGCAGGCTATTTTTCATTAAGCCCAGTGTCCTGTTCTCATATTCTTTTTAGGTGTGCTGCGTTACGATTGGTTCAAATAGCGTACTGTGGGAAAATCGTGCTGTAAAGCGATTTAGAAATTGTGCATGTTCAAATCGCGGTTTTGAGACGTTTTCAATAGTCGCACAGCCCTAACCATTTTTAACTGAAAATTTTGACAGTTTTAAAACCTTGACTCCTTCAAACCACGGTAAACCTTAAAAACGGTTATCGTCCCATGGTTAGTGTTCAAGCTTGAGCATTTATGTTTATTGTATCAATTCGTTTTATCCAAAGACACATAAGATACCAGAGACATTTTCTCACTTTTGTGCAAACCAATACTGCCAGCACACCCAGGTTTGCGCACTTACTCACACTCACTTGTTCAAACGCACACAAACACACACACATGGTTTTATGTGTCCCCCTTTTGATTTCAGCCACCTCCCCCCCATCCTAAAAGAGATAAAAGTTCAAAAGCAGAAACCTGATGTCATTAGTCTCTGAAAGAAAGAACGTAAAGCAGCAAACACACATCTCCACAATAGAGTTAGCAGGCAAAAATGAAAGGGTGGGAGGGAATGCATCAAGTTGCCCTCTGTCTTACTCTCATCACAGTTTGAAGTCGCTCCTGGTTTATGTCGCTTCTGGCAAAGCTAAATAAAGATTAGTTGCTACTGTAGTTTATGAGGCCGGCACTCATTTGTACGGGAGCGAGGTGTACTGCTTCATTTTGTCTCGTTTGCACCGTGACTGTTTCTGGCCATTGATCAACCAGAAACGCAGGAGAGAGGGAAGCACTGCTTAATGTTGGCTTACACGTCTTGGAATGACCGACAGAGTGTATTATATATGTGCGTGAGTGTGTGTGTGTGTGTGTTTTGTAGCTAAAAAGAGGAAATGATTAAATAGTGGCATTTGTATGAAAGCCTCCTGCTGATACAGGGAAGGGTTAAGTCGTCAACTGCAGAAGCCCATAAAAGCAAGATTTCATGTTTTCTTTTTAAGTATAAAGTCAAATGGCCTGCTTGTGCTGGTCTTCATAGTTAAACAAGGACGTATATATATGGCCAATTGCATTCAGTAACTGGAGGAAATGAAACTGGGTAGTTTGTTAAAAGCTTGTGTGAGTTGTAGCTGCTAGGTTTTATGGGCCAGTGTTTGTATTAGTACTTCATCCAATGTAATAAACAAAAAAACAATGTCAGCGGGGAGTGAAAGCGGTTGTGACTTTTTCTCTCACACACTACAATTTGTATGCAGCAGCAGAAATGTTTAATAGTTATAAAATAATTAAAATAGTTATATACATAATATATTTTTTGACACCAAAATCAGTATATTAGTGTGGCTTTTGAAGAATAATTTTTCAGCATCAGAGTAATCAATGATGTAAGTTCAGATTTAAAAATAACATAAAATGTATTTTTTTATTGTACTCTATTTATTCCATTTTATTATTTATTTTACTTTATTTATTGTATTTTAATTTAAAGGGATATTTCTACCAAAAAAAAATTATGCTCTCATTTATTCAGCCTTAACTTGTTCCATAGTTTGAGTTTGTTGAAAGATGGATATTTTGATGAAATACCATTGAACTTTATAGTATGTTTTTTTTTTTTGGATG